ATCAGAGGAGTGAGTTCTGACCTGCCCCCGAAGGCGATTCACATGGGACCCCACTATGACGCTTTCGCGTTATACTCCTGAAGGCAAAGCTGAGGCGTCCGGCGGGTTCTTTTTTTCTATAGACTGAGTCCGAGTGAGTCCCAATGACAAAAACTTTAGAGTCCAAGTACAAGTGAGCCAGGTTGAGGAAAGCTTTAGTGAGTCTGAGTACGAGCGATCCCTAAGAGCCAAATTAAACCCGTGACTATGCCTGAATGAGCACCACATTTTTTGCTGACCTATCTCTGATAGAAAGCACGGGCTCTGACATTCCGAATGTTATTTGTCTTCTTTCTTTCTTTCTTTCTTTCTTTCTTTCTTTCTTTCTTTCTTTCCACTTATCCTTCCTCCTTTCGCCCCTTTCTTTCTTCTTTCTTTCTTCTTTCCTTTCTTTTTCTTTCTTCTTTCTTTCTTCTTTCTCCCATTTTTCTTTTTCTTTCTTTCTTCTTTTTTTTCTTTCTTTCTTTCTTTTCTTTCTTTTCTTTCTTCTTCTTTCTTTCTTTCTATCTTTCTTTCTTTCTTTCTCTTCTCAGACATCCTCCAGCACCCAATCGTGCTTCACGTTAAGCCTTGTTCCGCTTCAATGTTGCTCCGCTAAGGTCACTACGAAAGAGAGTACCTCACTGCTATCTTAAGACCGCACCAACGCATCGTCTCGCTTCCATTTGTAACTGTTTGCATGTTTTCGTTTGTAGCACGCATTACATGCCAGTGGGGTCACGGAGCGTCACACCTGAAGCTTGAACTGCGGGAAGGATAAAAACGGGCGGTCGGTTGCGTCCATTGTCTCACGTTGCAGAGTTCCTACCACGGGGCTTCCGTGTGACTGGCACCCCACTTACACAACGGGACAATCTGTCATGGCGATTACGCGTACATAGTATGTATACGGGTCTCCCCCCCCACTGTAATAGATACTTCTATGCGGGCGTTCAGTTCCTACGTAGCGGAAGTGACACAGGGCTTGACGTATAGGTATTGAACACTGTGTAGTGGAGCATACGCACTAACGTGTATGCGCCTTCCAAAGAGAAGGAAAAACCCCGTGCTCTGATTGCACGAGAACCTGGGCCGCCCTTTGCCAGACTTGTCGTACGGCCATTTTTCGTTGCGACATCGTTGCGACTTCTCCGGTTCAATAAACGTCATCACATTTGGTGGAGGTGCTGGGTAGACATCTTTCTTCGTAATCTTGTTTAAGCGGCGATAGTCCACGCAAAATCGAACGGTGCCATCTTTTTTCTTGACCAGAACGACAGGTGATGACCAAGCGCTTTGAGAAGGCTGTATCACTCCACGTTTAAGCATGTCGTCTACTTGCTCCGTAATGACGCGGCGCTCTTCGGCGGAAACGCGGTAAGGACGCTGTCGCAGAGGCAAATGTGAGCCGGTGTCAATAGTATGAGTGATAGTCGTGGTGCGGCCCAAAGCAGGTTCTTGAAAGTCGAAAGAAGGGCGAAACTTGTTAAGGAGAGCAACAAGTTGGCGGCGATGCGAGAGGGGAAGGTCTGCGTCAATAGCATTGTCGAAGGCTGACAAACTTGATGGCTCAGACGCATGAGTTATTGCGGCAATGTGACATGGCGTTTCGTCGGGAAGAATAATATCATCGATATGGTCGACAGGTTGCACATATCCCAACGTTTCACCACGAAGTAAGCTGATGGGGTAGTTGCAGTGGTTGGTAACCAGCATTACGGTTAAACCAGATGCAACTGTTATGTAATCCTGTGAAACCACTGTTCTTCCTATCATTCATTGTGGGCCCAGTGCGAAACAGAACAGTGAAGAACAGAAACAAGCGCCAACTATAGGCCAGGTATCCGCAATTCCTACAACTCTCTTTGCAGGTAAGTGTTCGAGGCAGAAAAAAAGTGCTAAACTATTCGAAACACCTTGCTCCTGTGTTGCAGTTCGACGATTGTGGTTGTGCCCGCAAAGCGCAATACCGATGTATTCCTACGCCCTTCATTGATTTCCTCGCTCCTCCTCTATGACTTTCCTTCCTCCTATCCCTTTCTCCAGTGCAGGGTAGCCTACCGGGGCTCAGCCCTAGTTAACCTTCCTGCCTTTCTCCTTACGTTCTCTCTCTCTCGCTTTACGCGGCGAGGAGGTAACGAGACACTAAAAAAAAAAAAACACGAGGCAAGCGTTGCGTAGAAACAAAGTATATCTGAAACTAAACAATGCGAAAATAATAAAAAAGAAAAAGCGAATGGTGTCCTTCAATTTCAGCAAGCCGCAGAGAAAAAGTAATGGAGTCTCATGCATTGTTACAATAAAGCTTTGTCCAACATTAAAATATAGCGAGTTCGTGCGCTATAGTTTAGGACTATACAACATTACGCCGTATAGACAGTGCGCCTACGAGAGCCAAGATACGTGCTCGACAATACCCGGTAATTTACACTGTGAATGAACGACCGGCCGCAGCCTGTCTGCTTCTAGTAAACTATGCTCGAAGAACCACAGCCCGCTACTTACACCGCATCCCGGTCTTCGTACTCTACGTTCTTTCTTTTTTTGAATAAACGAGTCAACTGTAGTATGAAACAACGCACCAAGCTGTCCCCGAATGACCTAAACTTAATCGGGGAAACAGTTCTCCTTGTAGTGGTGATGGCGATGGCGACGAAAACTTGGGGTCCTGAGATAACGCAGGGAAGACTCCCGCGCCACCTGTTCAGTGCCCTCGTGAGAGCGGACCGCCAAGCCGACCTTGGCGGCCCGCTCTCCGTGAAACGGTAACGAAACAAACCACGACCAGAAGCAGAGTCCACCTGAACGATTTCCCAGTGCAGACAGCCCTTCTGTAGGTGATTAGCTTTGTTACTGTTTCCGCTGAGAGCTTTAGGTTGGAAGCCGATGCGGAAACTTACCCTCGGTTATGCCACTAGTCCTCCGTCCGAGCCCATTGACTTCGCAATCGGCCCACTTGGTTGACGTCGGTACTTCTATTATTTAGGGCCGCCATTTTATTGCCACTCTTCTTTCATGCGCACATGGTTCCTCGACACATACCGGCCAACAGTTTGCACAGCCTGCTCCATCCGTGTACGCACGAATAAAAAAAAATAATAATAATAGAGAAATGATGCGCCCGCTGAGGTTGCTAACACAAGTATGCAGCGTACGAAACCCAACAGAACTTCCTCGTAGCATACGCATTAACTTGGTAAATGAAAATCGCGCACGCGATGTGAGCGTATTGTACACGCAAGCGGTGACCGAGTGATCATATTCATTGATTCGTGAAGCGTAAGTTCCCAGACAAACTTGTGAGGTACGAGAAGCCCCGTAACTACACAGGTGACCTGAATGAATTCGGCGGCCCAAGTTCACACGAGTATAGTTAAATACACGCAGGTTTCTGCGGTTTGTCTCATTAAAAAAAAAAAAAAAAACGAATGCCTCGAGAAAACGCAACGACAACTCGGACCTCTTCATAACCTAAAACATGGTTTCGTGGTTGCGCTTCTCAAACGAACCAAACAGGAAAATATTAGGTCAAACCGTGTATTGAAAGACAGAAGATTTCTTCAATAGCAGAGCCATAACAAACAAGTTACTCACAGCTATAAAAGTGCTCCTCCTAGTTCTTATGCACCTGCAACTAAAGAATATATAAGCAACTTGCCGAACGACGGCTTCCGGCCTCCAGAGCATCACTCTGCCTCGTCTCAACGTTATCACTCAGGGTCCTAGCTATCCCTTCCACTAAGCACTCCTCCTTTACTTCGAAGGTCCCGAGTGTCACTTTTCTTGACATCCACTCTCGAACAAAGAACATGTCTGTTCTGCAATAAACCACACGTCCAGCTGCACTAATTAATCTTAGCTACGACATGATCTCTACGTGCATTTACACTGTTGTATTTAAACGGTTATGCACATTGGGCGGAATCAGTGAGACGTTCGAAGACGGGAACACTGCACAATGGAAGGTGGTGGCTCCAATACGGGCACGGAAACCATTCCATCGAGATTACGGCGAATGTTCGAGAGCAAAAAACCTGTGCTGACATCACTTCCCTTCCTAAGCTGGATCAAGAATACTGGGCCCATAAAAACAAAAGAAAAAAAAACTCTTACGATAGAATTGTTCGTTCGTAAAAGTGTGCGCTAATCTTTAGGCAGGGCTGTAAAATATTCTACTGGCAAACAAGGACGGGATACAGAGAGACACATTGGCATTGTGTGTTTTCCTACGCTGCGCGTACCCTTGTTCTTTAGTGCAATGTTTCACAATATTCACCAAAAACAAGCCCTGCCTTAAACGCTAAATGAAGGAGGAAGAAGGAGGAAGGACACGGAGGTTAGCCAAAATGAAGCAGGACATACTCATTATCAAAGGCGGCTTGGGAATAGGAAGATGCCCTTGCCAAATAAAGTGAATGCAACCATTGGTTGACTGATGGGTGTCCTGGCGTTTCACGCCGCAACGACACACGCAAAAAAAAAAAGCCTCAGCCGTTGATCAGCCTCCTCCCACCTGGCAATCCCATCCACTCACTTCCGACTGGGGCCCACTGGTCCAGAGCGAGATCATCGTATCAACAACCTAATAAGGACGTCTCCGAGCTTGACGCTACGCCTATCAGCCGTCGGCTCACCACTCTTTGCGAACGCGGTTACCCGCTATCGGGGACGTTTCCTTCCGACCAAGCAGGTGCGCTATCGTACCACAGGGAAGAAGGTGCGCTACCGTCCCACAGGGAAGCCATTCCTCACAAAAGCTGGCCGCGCCAAGTGAGTAAGCAAGCCGGCGGGCACACGTGCCTCTTGGCACTGGCGCCGCCTCTTGGCGGTTCGCGCCAGGTAGCGCCGGGCACCGCTCGTGCTGCCCAGGAGAAACGCAAGGCAAGCCGCCGCGGACCGGCTCCCTCGGCGTACTCCTCAGCCGGCTCTTCTTCTTAGCCACCGCCAGGTGTGTAGCGTCGTGTCCTCCTCGCTATCAGCGTGCCTCCTCTCCCATCTTCGAAAAAACAACCATGCGGCGCTCGAGGCGAGCGTGCGGCGTCTGATGAGTCGGCGGCAGTTATTCTTCCGACGTGCTCCTTGGTCGTCGGTCGTCGATGCCCGCCGATAAGTGACACAGTGACCGTCTGACTTGGAGCTCTTCGTCCCAGACGCTAGGTACCTGCTGGCCAAATACGGAGGTTATCTTTGCCGTTTCTGTGGAACGTCGTCAGACATCCAAACATCCGTGGAGGATACTTGCTAAAGTTTAACTACAGGTGGTGTAAGAGTTAGGAGACTAACCGTAGTCACCGACCACTACGACTACCACCCAAACGACAGTGTTCAGACTAGCAGACGTACGCCGCGGACTAGGACAGCCACAAGAAATTCGGGAGTCTTGCATGCTGATCGCAACCTTGGAGTCCAAGTGGATACCTCTGCGGCAACTCGAAGACGTTGGATTGTGAGCAGCGACACTGTAGTGAAACTTTGTGAGAAGCAAGCGAAACGTTGTACTTTGGAGATTTCTCGTTTTCCTTTCGTTGGAATATTTAGTTCTAAAACGGAATGACGTGAGCTGTGGATGTGCTCAGTTTTGTGGGTGAGGGTGCGCGGAACTGGAAGATGACAACAGTTTCGCTATTTACGCCAAACATGGCGCTCCACGAAAGATCACTCTCTACCCCATTCTTAGCTGTGTGCTAAGGGGTTGATTTGAGAGGGATTCGACTGCAGTGCACTTTCTTTTTTTTTTTGCCGTGAACTTTTTCACTCGTAAACGGCGAAGTTGTCTGTCACCGCCCTCATACGGAATCTCCTACATCGTAGACAACACTGTTGCACCACTCCAGGCAAATCATATTTCACGAGGCACAGTGAAAAGTGATATACAAGTCTTTGTGAAGCGGTCGGTATACATCTCCAGGTGTCATCACGTCAACTGACATCGCGGAAACATCCCCAAACCCACCCCAGGTAAGACTTGTTCATTTTAACTATACATGTTCTGCTTGATTATACGTATAGGCTACCTAAACTAATGCAACCACTTTACGACGAAATGGTATAAACAAATGTGGATGATCGCTTGTCAATTCAGCGCTGAAACCAAAAGTTGAAAAACAAAGATGATCTTTAAAGAGTGAGCTGCTCTAACAGCTGACACAGTGAGACCAATACTTTAGCTCTCGAACTTGAAGTCGATTGAGCGTTAATGAAAAACAACAATTAATTACCGTATCAGCTGGAATACTGATGTTCGTATTAGCGGCGCTGTGCCCGCACTCAACCAGCACTCTGCCCATCAAGTATAGGAGTAGACAGAGGGGCATGTTCAACTCATTTCTGGCAACTTTAGTTCGTATATATATACGGCCACACATAGCGGCACATGCACAAGCGTACAGGGCGCTAAAACACCACCAGGTCTCAGAAGACTTCGCATTTCCCAGCAAATGCCCCACCGCGGTAGTCTAGTAGCTAAGGTACTCGGCTGCTGACCCGTAGGTCGCAGGTTCAAATCCCGGCTGCGGCGGCTGCATTTCCGATGGAGGCGGAAATGTCGTAGGCCCGTGTGCTCAGATTTGGGTGCACGTTAAAGAACCCCAGGTGGTCAAAATTTCCGGAGCCCTCCACTACGGCGTCTCTCATAATCATATGGTGGTTTTGGGACGTTAAACCCTACAAATCAATCAATCTATCAATTCCCAGCAAATGACTTCGGTAAAAACTTCGCAGTACATGTTCGTGCGTTTCAGAGCCTAAATTCAGAGCTGCCTGCCGAAGCTGTGAGAGTATTCTGCTGTATTCTTTCGTCACGTGTTGTCTAAACTTTCCCCACTTACTGTACACAAAGCAGGGCTGGCCCACCTCTCCGTTCCCCTCCCAATAAAATTCTGGCTACGCCCTTGACATTATGATTAATTCGGCCGAATTTAAGAACCATACCTCTAGTGAATACCAGAACATGGCTCCGGCGTTTTTGAGTAAGCGACCATTTTCTCAAGTGCTGTGAGTACAAGAATAATCGTACACTGAGAGTAAAGGGTAAAGTTTGAAGGGATACATCTTTTTCATTTGGGTTGGACCAAGGGCGGCGAATGTTTTGAGTAAGCTTGTTTCTTCAAAAATGAAGCAGTTGCATCAGCTTAGCAAGTTCTTCATTTACGATGAAACGACTGTGGCAGATCAACTACAGTAACTCGTAATTTTGTGTCAGTGAAAGTGAAACATGAAGTTACAAGCAAGCGCGGGTCAATAACAATGACACACTGGCAGTAATTGTTTTACTGCTTAAGATAGTTTATAAAGAGAAAAACGATATTCTAAAAGCGGAAATTAAAGGATATTCATGTTTGGATCTGCGTGCATCGTAATTAACTGATATAGCTTAATTGTATAGGCGACTTTTCCCACATAACTTGTTGGTTATACTAACGCGCTCCTTAATTGCACCACATAATTCTCTCTCTCTCTCTCACACACACACACACACACACACTGAAGTAACATTACTTTATCGACTTCGCGCTAGGTGTGGTGAAGATGTTTGCAGTAATCGTTCTGTATGTAGAGATTCGAACTATATTCGCAACCTTGCTTGATATTAAAATCACGCCGGTTAGCGATCGTATTTGCGCCGATCATTGCCTTGCTGTTTGCATGTCGGTCCGTTGGTCGACAAAGTCATTGCCATGTACTTCTAGCTTTCTTGTGTGTAATTGCCACCACAACTGCGAAATGGTGGTTATTGCGATAGCTACATGCCGCGTTTGTGGTGTAATTTGCAAATAACATTTATTGCGTGTATATTGTGCTCATTTGTGCACCACATCATTTCTCATTAGAGTTTAGCTGACTTTCATGTTTCATTAGGATTAGTTTCCTTCGTTATATCTTGCTTGTATCTCCATCTACAGGCCTTTGTCTAAGAGCCCCCTGTAAGTTACGATGCCAGAAGCATAGTGGCTAAGGTACTCGGCTGCTGAAGCGCAAGTTGCGGGATCAAATCCCGGCTGTGGCGGCTGCATTTTTGATGAAAGCGAAAATGCTGTAGGCCCGTGTGCTCAGATTTGTGTGCACGTTAAAGAACCCCAGGTCGTTGGAATTTCCGGAGCCTTCCACTACGTAGTTTTTCATAATCGTATGGTGGCTTTGGGAGGTTAGACATCACATATCAATTAATAAATAACCAATAAATAAATCATGCAGGCCTTTAGGTGTCTGCGTACACGTATATATACACACGAAAAGTTAAATTTCTGGGGAAGGGGGTTATAGCCCCCCCTTCTCTTTCTTCAGCGGCTACGCCAATGTCCCCGGTCAAAACATATATCTAAGGAGGCTTTCATTTTTAACTCATTATGAATAACTTCAAATATTCATCTTTCTACAACTATTTTGTCTCAGTTTAAGTTCAAATCAGCCCTTAGATTAACCCTACAGGAAAGGGTGCCATGGATTTCAATGTTTCACCGCTACTCTAGTAGCCAGTACGGGCGAACAAAAAGGTTCTAGCAATACGCACACATACGCCATAGTATCGGCGGGCACCAGCAGAGACGAGAGCTATATTTAGCAACAGTTGCGTTTAGCCACTTTAAGTAAGCGATTCCGCCTTTCCCACATCGTTAAATAGTCGCCGGCGGTGACAATTACATATGGACGTGGTGGCGGTTGTGCTGGCGCGCTTGTACACACCAGACTTTATACGCCGAATCTCTGACACGTGCCAAAAACACAGAGAGTTTGTTTCTTGTCGTTGATGCCGTAACGAGGAGCGCGTTAGGAAGGAAAGGAAAAAAGCAAAGGCATTGCCGGTGCAGCACGAAAACAGGAAGCGTTGCGCTTTGAACACTAATTAATAAAAAAAACAAGCAGTGATAACAGTTATGGATTGCCGCAGCGTTGACCAAACTTGATCGCGGAAATACTTGACCAATAGTTGTCTTGACCAATGTTATCTTTACCTTTTATTTTGCTTTGAAGAGGCTGAACAGACCAGGCAATTAGGTAATTACCGGACAAAAAATCATCAACTTGGTAGACATGCACTAGTTTTCTTAAAATGCCCTGATATGTTGTATGTTATAGACGGGGACCTATAAGGTGTGTTTAGTAAACGTCGATTTCGCTTTTGCTTCCTCGCAAGAAATAGAGAGAGAGAAGAGAGTGATGAAGCCGTTGCAGAATTTATATATATATATATATATATTATATATATATATATATATATATATATATATATATATATATATATATATATATATATATATATATATAATATATAAAGGATTCAAAGATGAATATATAAAGGATTTAAACATTCAAAGGATAACGCAGTGCACTGCGTTATCCTTTGAATGCCGGAAGTTATACGAATGCGATGTGACCACAAATTCAATCTCGCGTGCGAAGTGGCTTCAAAATATTTAAAAAAATGTTCCCGAAGCTACACATCAAGTCAATATAAAATCTGCGAGTAATACATCTGTTCCAACCTTTAAAAAAATATTTCCAAGTCACTTCGCACGCGAAACTCAATTTGTGGTCATATCGCATTCGCAAAACTTCCGACATTTAAAGGATAACACAGCTGCAGACTGCTGCGCGCTCTCTAGTGTGTTTAGAAATAGTGGGTGTTACGATTTAGAGTACTAAGTACTGTACTATGAGAGAGCGTAAAGCCGTCCCGTGAGAAGCAGGAATAAACAGCAGGAATGTCCTTCGGAGGAACATACTTCTTTTTCCAACTTTTAGACACCGCAACGCAGACTTTTTATGTTTAGTCTGAGGCAGTCCAGCCACTTTCACTTCTGTTGTGCATCTTTTCTCAACATAGCATTTAAAAATACTGATCAAAACGTGCTCGTTTCAAGGCCTACACTAATACATATGACAGCTTCCGTTAAGATTTATTTCTCAGACGTGAAAACAACCTATACGAAATATACACAACCTATACAAGTCTCATTGGTGATGTGGCTTCGATACAGTTCCCAAAATCCATGCCTTACATTAGAGTTAACCTAAAAGCGGCGTATGTTAAAATATGCCAAGAAATTCCGTTGCCTGTTCATTTGCTCCATACTGACTGAACGAGGTTAACGAATCAATTCTAGTTGCAGTTTCATAACCGACAGACCCGAAAGTTCAATGCACTATCCATGCCAATTACGTTGTGTTATGCATTCCTCGATCCGCTCCCTCTCTTAGTACGATAGGGCAATGAAGACTGTTTACAACAAGGACTAACCTAACTGAATCAAGAAAAATTCGACAATAAAGGGAAGACATGTCCTGCAACCATCATGGTGCACGCACGCGAAGTTACCCGCATTATCAGCTCGCGCCAATTTGCAGTTGAAATCGGAGTAGACTCTCGACTTCCGCTTCACGAGTACACATCATTCGCGTGTCACGACCGTTTGGCCTCAACACAACACCCCCCACCTCCTACCCACACTTCCACGCGCGCTCCTTCATCAAATGCTCACCTAGCCCCCCCCCCCCCTTCCCCCCGCCGACAAGCTAGTGAATAACGCGACAGGGCGATTCACACGCGCTCTCGCGGCAAGATGCATTGTGAGCGAAAACAAAGGCGACTACGCTGCGGCCACCGCATCTCAGCACTACAAACAGCCTCGGCGCACGCACACGAAGAAAAACAAAAAAAAAAAACACCACCCGCTAATGAGACGACTCCTCGACGGAGCGGAACAAAAGAAGTCAGGAGGTCGAGAGACGAGATCCAACTATCCGTGACAGCGGCGGTAGCGTGGGTGCACCGCGAACTTATAAAGGAGCGTGCGGTGATATACGGCGTGTAGCAGTGAGAAGAAACGTCGTTAGCGTATGGACGTATAGGGAGATGTATAAGGGGCCGGCCTCACTCGAGGGAAGGGCCTTCTTGTTACAGATTGCCGGCGCAGGCATATATAGAGATAGGTGCTTTAATTAGGAAAAGAGAATCTAAA